TGTGATGAATGTGGATTTTAATGATAATTCTCATTTCTACTCATTAGAGAAAAACAAAAAGCCCATTTCTTTATGAACTCCCTGGACTCATTTGAAAAGACAGTGATGTTTTTGGTTGCCCTCCCTGTGTGTAGCAGGGAATTCCCAGTCTTTGACCAGTTGGGATCTATTTCTTTATATATTTCCTAGCTGAGCTGAACGTGGGGTTGAGGTCAGCTTGGTTGCAACCAACCTGTCCAGATAATTAGCAGCCAGGGAATCACAGCATCATAGAATATAGACTATAGGGCTTTCTATATTCTATATATCTTCCACTGGTCGGTACTGGGAAGCACTCCAGTGCAACTGTTAATGACTCAGAACACTATATTTAGCCTTAAAACTAAATCCAGTGGGTTTGGGGATAAATCTGGTGGTTTTAGGAGCCTATTTTAAGCATTTGAATTATTTTTTTGGAGCAGCCAAAGGCTACTGCAGCAAAAAAAAAAACCAGGTAGTTGGCCAGGTAGCCAGGAGAGAAGCCAAAAGCATCTCCCAGTTGCAAGGGCAGGGTGGGACAGGAGAGGCACGGCACCTTGTTCAGCCTGGAGAAGAGGAGACTGAGAGGAGATCTCCTGGGGGTCTAGAACTTCCTCCCAAGGGGCAGAGGAGGGGCAGGCGCTGATCTCTTCTCTCTGGCCACCAACGAATGCCAGGAGCAGAGGGAATGGCAGGAAGATGTGGCAGGGGAGGGTGAGGTTGGCCATGAGGAAAAGGTTCTTGAGGCAGAGGGTGGTGGAGCACTGGAACAGGCTCCCCAGGGAGGTGCTCATGGCACCAAGCCTGACAAGATTCCAGCAGCATTTGGCCAAGGCCCTGAGGGACATGGTGTGAGCGTTGGGATTGTCCTGTGCAGGGACAGGAGTTGGACTCCATCATCCTGGTGGGTCCAACTCACAACTTTTGATGATTCTATGATTCTCTCACAGCAGCAGATCCCTATGGAGAAGCTCTTCCACAGCTGAGGCAACCACGAGCCTCACTTTATGGCCCACTGTTGTCATTTTAATCACAGCAAGGATGTTAATTACACGAAACATATTGGCTATCACATTAACCCCTTGCAGTGGCTGTGAGGAGCTTGAGGTCCCCCTGGACCTGCCCAAGGATGGGGTGACCCGAACAGGCGCG